AAACAACTCAGTTCTTCATGCCTAGAGATGGGACAGGTACATATATAAGGTTACGGAAGCATCAGTGTGAGGAATCTGTTCTCCAAATCTTCGTGGATAAAAGACCATAAATTTCAGGTCTATTTGATTAATGTGTAGGGGTCATGGTACACGTGTCACAAAGGTGGCAACAGTTGCATACACCGTTGTCATTTGTACTCTAAAGGCAGCATTTAAATATAAGTGTTCACTGCCCTACAGGCTTACCCATCAGATCCAACCTTTCCTCTGGGGTCAAAAATATCAACTGAAAGATGATGAAGTAGAATATTTTATGTAGCTCTTCACACATTAAAGTTTCACAGAATGTCTCACAGGAAATTATAGCCTTTTCGTGCTTCCTTCATAACTGTGACACTTTCAATTAAATGAAACAACCATTTGCAACCAATAGGAGGTTGATATTTTTACAAGGTGCTATTCCATCAGAATGTAAGGAAACATATATCTACATAAGTGTAGAACTTTGGACATCAAGGCTGTTTTATTACCTGTTGTCTTGTAGTTAGGTTCAATGGTACACCTTAACCCAAATTGGAATAATGCCACGAAACACGTATCATATCATTTGAGTCTGAAGCACAATTTTGATGTTATATAAACATCCTAGTGCAGGTCTAATCAACTGTTAGTCATTAGGCAGAAAAGGCTTCAAGGGGTGAAAAATAGAATTTAATTGATTTTTTTCCTGCAAATTTTTTGTTTTAAACATTATCTTTGAGTGTTTTTAACGTATTGACTCATTCAGCCATCATAACAACCCAATGATGTAGATATTACTCCTCCATTTAACAGATTAGGGAACTGAGCCACAGAGAGGTCGGGAACTTATGTCACACAGCTAGGAAATAATTGGATTTCACCGTCAAATATATTCCCTAATCATATGTCATTCACCTACCAACTTGAGAGTCACTTGGTGGCTTTTGATGGAGGAATCTATTTTAACTCTATTTGTACAATTTGCAGTTAATAAAAGCAGTACAATAAAAGTAGCAGGATTTAAGGTGACTGCCGCTCTGCTCCAAGGTAGAGGTAGTGGAGCTTTCACAGAGAGGGCAGGTCTTTTCCTCCTCAAACTCCTTGTTTAAGTATGAAATCCAGTGAGGGAGAGTATATAGTGCTGGACACATAATGAATTCTAAAGTATGTTGTGAGGAGGTCATAAAATTTGGAATCAGAAGACCAATTCTAGCCATGTGGCTTTAAGCAAATTACCCAGCCTCATTACATGCTTCACTTAATAAATAGAAATAATAATAATTCCTTTCAAAGTTATTATAAGGATACAGTGAAGAAACTGTATGAAAATAATGTAATTGGTAAAGTGGTATACAGATATTGGTTAATTTCACAATGATCACAATAATATTTGTAGTTAGTAAATATATAATTGTGGTTAATAGATATATAATGATTGGGCAAGGGTCATTCATGCCAGGACTTACAATGATAGAATCCTCAAATGACTTGATGAGGTTTACAGATTTAAAACTGGACTATTCAAGTGACTAGAGACCATCTACAGAAACAGCCCAAGGAGATCCTTCAGTTGCAAGAGCAAAGCCATCAATTTCAGCTGAGCTCAGAACTTGACTTTAGGTTTACTCATGAAGGCAAGAGAAATGCAGTGTGTAGCTATCACTTGAAATTCAAAAAACAAAATACATTTGCTTCTCTAATTTGGATCTTTTAAGTGGAGGTATCTTTCTGAATTACCTGGGTAATAACCACTTTTCTACACATCTTATGGCTAGGTAGGTGAGTGCTATTTAAATTAGAAGCACATAGTAAGTAAAAGACATTTTGTGATTAGCTCTTCAAATGGCTACAACCAAGTTTGAAAAAAACAGTAAATATATGTTGCCTAAATTGAAAAATGAAATATTTTTTCTGTACAACTGGACATGCCCAAGACAACTAAAGAAAAGAGACAAATGTCTAAGCGGGGTATTGGTAGCTATGAATTCCTTTGAAGATTTGGAAAAGATTTATTCCATTAAAGGGCTCTTTACTTTGCATAGCTGGCTCTTATTCAACACCTTATTACACTTCCCTCCCTGCTCTCAGCAGGCCTGTAAGGTTTCTCTCCACTCAGTTATGAATCACTGCTGAAATGATATTTTTAAAACCTAGGAATGTAAGGGTAACTCAGGAGAGCCCATCGCTACAATCAAGCATTTCACTTCATAGTCACTACGAGCTAACCTAAGATAATGAAGGAATTGGGTTTCAGTTCCCAAGTAAACAAGAAGTATTCTCTGAATTAGCAAAACTAAACTCATTTTGTGGCGTAGTGGAGTTCTTGTATCCTTGGCTTGTTTTTCACGTTAGTCTTGGTGGTGGTGGTAGTAATAGTGGTAGAAGATTAATAGTAGAGGCAGACTTCCTTGTTAGTAGTAGTTGTAGCAGCTATAATACTCATAGGACTAGCACTTATAATTTATATTAATGTTATAATAATAGAAGAATCGAGAGTTGTAATTATAACTTTTACACATTAGCAAATTCTTCCATCATTCTACTTAGTTCGTTGGGAGTAATTTGAGACTTCACCTTTAAACTTTGGGAAATTGTAGTTCTAGAAAACTTCCTCCTGATGGGGCGAAGCGGCAGGTAATGATTCTCATGATCTGAAAGACTGAGTTACATACAATAGAGTGGAAAAATAATGTTTTGCCAAATCTAAAAATAAATATAAATCTTATTTATTTTAAAAACTAATAGTAATAATTAAGTATCTGAAATCATTAATGGCTCCGCATTTTTCAATTCTGTTTTTCTAGGAATTGCTGCCGCATTTCTTACAGAGTTGTTTTGGTGAATGAATTCTGTATTGATTTAAAATTATCTTACTGCCTTGAACTACTGCCCTCTTTATTCTTTAAATAAATCAGTTTCTCTTATTAATACATGGAGAATTTAAAGTAAGGGAATAAACTATCCAGAGCTACTGTCCCTGAAAGAACACTTTCAGAGTATAATTCAATTTTTTCTGTAAAAGATCATATTTATAGAATTTTTGTATTCATTTTAATGGTGAAATTAATGGTGAATATAAAAGCATGCTGATGAGGATAGGAGAAAAGAAGTAAATCATAGACCCTGAAAAATAGTCACGCTTCATCTTTATAATTTTAAGGATGTGATGTTGGACTTTGAACGTTGAGAGCGTGGCTCTGAAAATTACAGGGAAATCAAATAAAAGCAATGACTCTTCCACCCTATCATATCTTTTAGTACACTTGAGCTACATGAAAAGGCAAATGTACAAAGTTCTGCTCAAGACATAGGGAATTTATTTTGAAAGATATTTTTTGGCAAATGAGAAACAAAGAGTAATGGATGATTAAAACATGCTAAAGATTTTACCAGTTTAAGCATCATTTTTAAAGGTGAATAGCTATGATTCAATTATGCCTTTGATGAAAAATAAAAAAGAAAGTCAAAGGGGCCTCCCTGGTGGCGCAGTGGTTGAGAGTCCGCCTGCCCATGCAGGGGACACGGGTTCGTGCCCCGGTCCGGGAAGATCCCACATGCCGCGGAGCGGCTAGGCCACTGAGCCTGCGCGTCCAGAGCCTGTGCTCCACAACGGAAGAGGCCACAACAGTGAGAGGCCCGCGTACCGCAAAAAAAACAGGAAGTCAAAGGAAAGACAACATTGCTGGAAAGACAGAAATTGATTTCAAAGTAAATGACTACAGATTTAATTCTCCAATAACTTATCTAGAAATTACAGTTGAGAATTTAAAACAATAAAGGCCATGATACGCCAATGAAAGCTTTATTCAGACCATGAAGTGAGATAAAAGTTTTACAGTTTTAGAAGTTTAAATTCTACATAATTTTGTGGTTTTAAAAAATGTCCCACTTTTTAAATTAATTCTAATGGAAATAGAAAAATGATCTATAGTAACCCCAGATATGTAGTTAACTTACGATTGCCTAAACATTACAATTGCATTGTCACAAATAACTTGCTTTGGATTTTATTTTGTAATAATGTATGTGTGTATGTGTGCATTTTTTATGTTCTTAATTGTGCACTTCCTAGGTTAATATGAAAAATTAGTTGGTATTCCCTGAGCTGACTCTCCTTTTAGGCAGCTAAAGACCTTGGAGGCAAGAAGCCAGTATAGGATTAACAATTTGTCATGGATAATCCACAAAGTAAATAAACCCAGTGTGAATAATTGAAAGTGGGTAGGGTTGTAACATGGGAGGTATTGAAAGTTAATTCAAGACTGAAGTTCTCCATAGTAAATTCGCTCTCCTTATCCAACAGCTAGAATAGGCTGGCATTGATAACTCTCTAAATAGAGAGGCATTTGTGCATTATCAATGTTTTACCATCTTATCTGAAAACATATAGTCTACCTCCTTGACACAGTGCTACTTGAGCAATCTGAGAAATGTGAAGTTTTTCCATGAGTGTTTAGCCTCCTTTCAACTTTGAAAAGATGGTCCAAAACATTTTCTTCATTTTAGTATTAAAGATACACATGTGTGATTTCTAAAATGTCCTAAACTGAGATTAAGAAAGGCAATTCAACATCATGAAAATACATTCATTTGTAAGCTGGACTTGCCTGTTTGACTAGCGTTTAAGATAACAAGGGATTACTAAAGGCAAATTTAATGTTTGAATTACTTATAGTACTATAGTAGCCTCTTCAGCCTAATAATCTCTTCCAGGTAATAGTCACTTTCCTGCAATTAAAGTTGTACATACTATAGATTTCTGATTTACCAGTCTGCAAGGTGCTACCAAATCATATGGGAATTTGTCACCTAATCCAGACTCAGCTATTGCTGATCAGACATTAAGACATAAATTATGTTTCTTTTTTTTAGCTACCATGATATTTTATTTTTGAAATGTGACTGAAGGTGAGTTGGGATGTTTTAATTAAAATTTTCTGGACTTTTTCTTAACATATTTATTATTTTTCTAATTATAGGTTTCATATACACTGGAGAAGTTGTACATCGAATGCTAACAGCCACACAGTACATAGCACCTTTAATGGCAAATTTTGATCCCAGTGTATCCAGAAATTCAACGGTCAGATATTTTGATAATGGTATGTATTGGTTAGCCTATTTTTTACTAAATGTATACTTATAAACATTGATCATCAGATTCATATTAATATTTTAGTAACCTTGGGTTTTTTGGGGGTAGACTGGAATTTTAAACTGCTTGATATAAATGCCCCGAGATGACAAATGTTACACTGCAGCTGTTAATACTGTTAATATGTGGAGTAAAGTATGTGGTTAAATGTCACTCGTTTATTCATTTGTTCATTCAACAAATGTTTATTAACATGTATTGGGCACTATAATATATGAGTTGCTGTAAACGACGCCTCAAACAAAGCAAATACATTTATTTTATGCTAGTTGCAATACGTCCCTCCTATTAAAAAAAACAAAGGATAATTTGTTAGTTTTGATCTTCAGATAGAGGCAAGTGGCATAATATATTGATATTAAATTTCCAAAACTTTTGAATAATATGTACAATAAGATGAACACACCTTTTAAAAATCTAGGATTGTGGGTAATTAAAATCACTCAAGAAAAAGGTTTTCCTGACTTTGAAATATGAAATAGAGTAACTGACAACAATCTATCCCTACTATTTCTTTGTGGGGCATATAAAATAGTCAGAAAAGACCTAGAATATGTCGCTAAGTACCATTCAAATCTAAGTAAGAAATGTAACGTCCTAAAGACATAAATGAATTTTCATGTCTGCATCTTATTGAAAGCTGTAACTTTAGTAGAAAACGAAATTATAGGAAAAGAAGAGTAGTTTTGGAAACTTAAAGATAGAAATTTCTGTTCTCTTTATAATACAAAAATAGTATTTATTTGCCCAAATGACAATTTTATCTTTTAAAATAATGAAAGCATGTGGCCTGAACAGAGTTATTTCTTCTCTTGTCTTGCCTTAATGAGCAAGGAAGAAAATTACTATGGGGTAGCATAGACTTACTCGTGACCATGGCTTTCAGAAAATGACATCATTTTGCTGAAAGAGATCTGACCAGTGTGATAAAGCCACTTTACAGGTCAAAATAGCAAAAGAGGAAGAAAACTAAACATACTTAGATGTACACTTTGAGAAATGCATTTCAAACAATTTGAATAACACCAAAGTGTGATCCTTACACTTACAATATGAAGTAATACTAAATGTTAGCCATAATAATTATTTCCTTCTATTATTTTAAGAACTGTTATACTCTGTCCTCCCACTTAAAAAAACTGAGGTACCAAGGCCCAAAGATGTACAAGTAGATTTTAAGTATACTTTAGACAGAGCTACAGTGAGCAGCTTATCTGAAGCTTATCCCCTGACCTACTAGACAGAATGAATCTACCCTAAGTAAATAAGAAAGTTGAGTATTTTCCAAGCTTTGTCACTTACTAGGTGATGTTGGGAACATTTACTCATGGGCACAAGCTTCTGATGACCAAGTTTTTAGACTGTTAGCATCAAAATCATAAAGCAGGGGCTTCCCTGGTGGCGCAGTGGTTGGGAGTCCGCCTGCCAATGCAGGGGACACGGGTTCGTGCCCCGATCCGGGAGGATCCCACATGCCACGGAGCAGCTGGACCTATGAGCCATGGCCGCTGAGCCTGTGCATCCGGAGCCTGTGCTCCGCAACGGGAGAGGCCACACAACAGTGAGAGGCCCGCGTACTGGAAAAAAAAAAAAAAAAAAAAAATCGTAAAGCATATTAAGCCTATTTCCCCATATGCTCTCTCACACACCCATGTACCTAGGTAGCTCAATATTTAAATTTTACTTTTATTTAAATGATTTTTAAAAATTAATATATGCCACTTCAACTGGATTCTAAATTCTTTAAAAACTAGGACTGTGACTATTTATAAGAAATTATTTTCTCTTCAATACCTGGCACAAGAACTCAATACACAGTCGGTCCTCAATAATTAATTATTCAATGAATGAATACATGAAAAAAATTAGGTATGTAAGATGATTTTTAATTCTGAGAGTGGTGACGGTACAAATACTCAAGAATTACTGTATTTTACTTTATTGAAATATCTTCTGTGTGATAACCAATGGGAATATTGCATTCTTACAATATAATAATAAAAGCTAGTAACTGCCTGTGTTTTATTAAATGATTGAAGCACTTTTCAGTATTGTAAGGATCTTCACAAAGTCCTTTTATACCATAGCAACTTACTGAAATATTTCCAACTTTGATTGGTTAGGATCATTGAAGGAATGCTTAAGGATGGGAAACTCAACATTTTAGGAAAGCAAAAACTTCTCTAGAGGAGACAGCAGTTTAGAACATTTCTTCTAAGATAATATTTCTGTAAGCATTAAAGCACTAGACTTTAAAAATCAGACGATGCTTCCAAATATTGTAGCCAGCCTAGAAGTCTGAGTCACAGAATATTAATGCACAAAAACTAGAGAAATTGTAAAACTAAACCTTTTATTAGAAAAATAATTTGGTGGCTCATAAATAGCAAATAGAAAGCGTAAGTCTTGCAGTGATCAGAAGCCTAATCAAGCACAGAATCAGAAAATTGGGAGTTAGTAGTGACCTTAAATGCCCCTAGATCAACCTACCTGCCTGTTTTTATTTTGGAGATTAAGAAATTGGCATCCATTACTGATTAGACAGTTTGATCACCCTAGGGATACTAAGTTGCAACTGCTCAGTTCCATTAAGCACATAGGATGGTACAGCAGCTCATGTGGTCTGTTATATGAGCTTAAATTACAACTTCAGATCTGCCAGGAAGAACTTTACCATTAGATTTTGTGCCCATCATCAGAAAAACAGTGTAAGATTGTCAGTCATAAGCCAAGAGATGCACCACACTAACCCAGCTCTTTGGTGAATTCCAAGGTTTGCTCTTGGCAGATTATTCTCCTACATCATAGCTGATGACCAAAGAAAGTGTCTTTTTGGTTCACTTACCTAATTACTTCCTATATTAGGTACTACCTAGGAAGCAATATGTGAGTAAGGCGCTGCTTAGAGAAATACAAGATCGTATCTCTAAAAGCCACTCTCACTAACCTGCAGACCATAAAGTTTTAGATTCAGCAACTTGTAATAAAAGGTAAAATTTGATATATTGATTATTCAATAAAACAAGGTAGAGACATGTAATTAATTTTAAAATTTAATGATAACATTTACACTCAACTAATCTTACTAGTAGAACCATTTAAATTAAATGCTGGGGGAGCTGTGCTACTACATAATATAAAACATATTTGCACAATTAGTGTTATTTTTTAAAAGTCTGCTACTAACAATGTATTGAAAATATCGTCACCAGAATTTGCATTAAAAACATTTAATTACTCAATTTAGGTAGACCTCTCTTGTGCACAAAGAATTTGAGGAAACTATATATTTTTTGATTGATTGCAGAAATCCCTAGAAGGCAAGAATTATTCCTCCCATGTTGTAGAAGAAACAGGTTCAAGCAGGTTAATTGTGTCCAAGGTCACACACAAAGTATTAGAGGCAGCACACAAGTCTAGCTCATCTGCCCTCCATTTCAGTGTTTCCTCTGCACCGTCAAAGTGTCTATTAGAAATTAGTGAGTAAGAAGGAGACTAGAGCTTGAGAGTTGTGAACACATGTGAAAGAAAAGAAGTGGTTGTTAGGAGGAATTTCATGATCAGAAAACCCTTTTACTTCTATGATTATGGGAAGTTTCCTGGCTATTATTGTCCTCTTGCCTTTTCCAGTTTTTAGAAAAATGGTTGTATAGATACAGAGATGCCCATGGAAGGAAGAGACCTGGGTTTTCACTTACAACAGGGGTATGTCTTGGGTGCTGCTTATAACTAAAAGTACCAAGGTAAAAGTTAAAAAAAAAAAAATGTTTTTTACTTCTAAAGTTTTACCTCAAGGAAATAAATAGATTTCTATATTTAAAGAGTATATATTGAGATATTTTTATATATATATATATATATATATATATATATATATACATTGTGAAAGAATTTCCACCATCAAGTTAATTAATATTTTCATCACCTCACATATGTACCTTTTTTCTTTTCGGGTGGGAACATTTAAGTTTTATTCTCAGTAAATTTCAATTATATTGTACAGTGTTAGAAACTGTAGTCACCATGTCATACATTAGATCCTCAGACCTTATTCATTATATAAATGAAAGTTGGTGTCCTTTTGTCAGCATCCCTTTATTTCCCCCAGACCCTAGTCCCTGGCAGCCGACATTCTAAAATCTGTTTCTTTGAGGTCGACTGTCTTTGTTTTGTTTTGTTTTTAGATTTCACATGTATGTGATACCATGCAGTTTTTCTCTTTCTCTATTTGGCTTATTTCACTTAGCTTAATGCCCTCCAGATACATCCATGTTGTCACAAAGGCAGGATTTCATTCTTTTGGGGGCTGAATAATATTCCATTGTGTATATATACCACATATTCTTTATCCATTCATCCATAAATGAACACTTAAGTTGTTTTCATACTTTGGCTGCTTTAAATAATGCTTCAATGAACAAGAGAGTATAGATATCTCTCTAAGGAAGTCATTTTGTTTCCTTTGGTATACACCCAGTAGTGGGATTCCTGGATCATATGGTAGTTTTCTATTTTTAATTTCTTGAGGAAATTCCATACTGTTTTGCACAGTGTCTGTTCCAGTTACGTTTCCACCAACAGACTATAAGGGTTCTGTTTTCTCTGCATCCTTTCCAGGATTTGTTACCTCTTGTCCTTTTGATAATAGACATCTTAACAGGTGTGAGGTGATGTCTCGTTGTGCTTTTGATTTGTATTTTCTGATGATTAGTGATACTGAGCACATTTTCATGAACCTCTTGGCCATTTATATGTCTTATTTGGAAAAATGGCTGTTTAGGTCCTTTGCCCATATTTTAATTAGGTTATTTGTTTTCTTGCTATTGAGTTGTGTGAGTTCTTTATTTATTTTGGATAGAATCCCTTATTAGATACATGGTTTGCAAATATTTTCTCCTATTCCATAGGCTCCCTTTTCACTTTGTTGATGGTTTCTTTTGCTGTGCA